CCCCCCCCCAAAAAGGGGCCCCCCCCAAAGGGGCCTTTTCCCCCCCCCCCCCCCCCCCCCCACATCCCGGGGAAAAAGAAGGAAAAAACTTCAAAAAAGTAGTAGAGGCAGGATGGAGGGAGGGAGGGAGGGGAAAGTGGATCGGCGGATGGGCATACAGATTGACAAGCAAATGGATGGACGGACATCAAAGGATGATTGGTTGCCTGGCTGGGAAGAGAGATGAGTGGACAAGCTGATGTGCAGATGACTGACGACCGTGTGTGAGGAGGAGAACGGGTTTTGTTCCACTGCATTAGAATTGCACACGATGACTTCATAGGGGCCATCAACGTAAGGAGGTTGCGGCCATACGATGTTAGTTCTGCTTGTTTCTAGTGCAGTAAAAGTTCCCCAAAGACGAGCCAAACTTGGGATGTGAAACGATATGATGGATAACATGACTGAACGGGCAAACCAGATAAAACACAAGGGAGGAAAGGGAGAAAGGGAGGAAAGGGAGAAAGGGAGGAAAGGGAGGAAAGGGAGGAAAGGGAGGAAAGGGAGGAAAAGGACAAAAATATGGGGGCTGTGTTTTGTTGAACTTTCATCTATTCTCAAGGAAGCTGAACCCTAGTAGTCTGTAGAGACCACTATTAAGCCAGAAGGACGTCTATTGCTGTCCGGAATTAAGTCGATAAATGAAGGATCACATGATTCATGCCAACAGACAAGAATTACAGGGAAAAGCACATGAACAGCCCTCTCAAGCTTGCTAACCTGGTGTCGTTCGGGACATTCGTTAAAATTGAAACAATACAGAGAAGATTAGCATGGCCCCTTCACACGGATGACATGTATAAATCGAGAAATGGTCCCAAAAAAAAAAAAAAAAAAAAAAAAAAAAGCTTTGCTAACCTGGTCGGAATGCAACCTGAGTCAGCAGATGCGCGAGTGCATCTCGACCAGGGCCGTTTTCACTCTTGAAACATTTAGAGGGGCTATTTATGTCCTTGCCCCAAGTTATAGCTGGTTGCTCAAGTGGTTTTACCTTCTTTGTTGGCTGATTAACTTTCTGGGTGGGGGTGCACTTTCCATTCCCTGGGCATTTTTTTTACAGATGGAAGGTAAATGTGCATCTGCAGAAAGAGTGGCGCTACCTGCGTCAATAGTTTCTCAGGAGATGGAGGCTTCACTGGCAGAAAGAGATCAACTCATATCAAGACTCACAGATACTGTATGAGGATCATGCCATCAAACGAACCCCAGGCTCTCTCCCTCTGTTTTCCAAATTCAACCATCTGCATCCTACTTGTCACCCACCTATTTTCCCGTGACTGTTACGAGAGAGTCCTGAGGGTTCTTTCCCCCCCCTAAGGTAAAAGGCATGGGAATTAAGTTCAATGAACTGACCGACAGTCCTTAGTAGGTACACCCATGTTGAAAGACATATGCCATCAAATGAACCCCAGGCTCTATCCCTCTGTTCTCCAAATTCCACCATTCGCATCCTACTTGTCACCCACCTATTTTCCCGTCGTTGTTATGAGAGAGTCCTGGGGGTTCTTTTTTCCCCCTACGGTAAAAGGCATGGGAATTAAGTGCAATGAACTGACCAACGGGCCTTAGGAGGTATACCCATATTGAAATACACATGCCATCACACCCACGTTGAAATACACACCCAAGTACGAATCCAGATGGAACAGCGATTTCGTCAAAACGGACATTTTATATTTTTTGAACGAAATTTAAACCTTCTTATTTAGCCCGAAAAATATCACTGTTTATCTCATGAGAGTCCATTTCGACTCAACTTAAGTTCAGGTACATCCAAGGGGAACCCTAAGGAGCTAAAATGGTGACATTTCCGGGGTCAAATACCTGGGTTTCAATTTCGTTCAAAAAATATAAAATGTCCGTTTTGACGAAATCGTTGTTATGGAATCAGATGAAACAATAAAATAATTCTGGATTACAGATGAGCAGAATATAGTAATTCTGAATTGCAGCTGATGTCCGATGAACAGAAATTACAGAATAAAATAATTCTGAATTACCTGGGGCGGCCCAGTTCAATGATGATATCTCAAAGCTGAAAGAAAAAAAAAAAAAAAAAGTTTCAATGAGCTCACACACACACACAGAGAGAGAGAGAGAGAGAGAGAGAGAAAAAGAGAGAGAGAGAGAGAGAGAGAGAGAGAACAGGGAAAAAGCAGGGAAAGGGTCGTTGAAAAGATGAAACCAGAAGCAAGCTTGATTCCAGATTCCTAATGCCGAAGCTCAAAGAAACAGAAAAAAATAAAAGAAAAAAAACAGAATAAAAAGAAGAATAAAGGGAAGCAAGTGTGGCACTAAATTGTCACTCGATAAAAAGCTGTCAGGCTTGGGCTATGGGGAGGGCAAGAATGGAATGGGCTCCCTCAGGAGGGGTACCAGACTGCAATTGCTACGCTGGAAAAGTGAGTTTCTTAGGTGTTGAGAAAAAAGGCAGGGTACCATTTGGGGAAAAAAAACAGAAGTCCAAAGAAAACATTAGAAAAGAGAGCGCAAAGGACGCCGGCAGCACGCCCCTCCCCCATCCCCCTCGCCCCCCGAATTCCGGAGGCTTGAAAAAGAGCAGCTACCCGGCCCTTCGATGATCAAGCCAGCCTTAGGAATGTTGTTTGACGGACGGGTAGAAAGAATAGGGGAATTATTGCATCCCCGTTGACGATGAAGCCAGCATGGATCCTACCAACGCTGGGTCTTGTCCAGTTTGATGATCATCCCCCTTAATGATGAAGCCAGCCTTAGGCAATTTAAGTGAAATCAAGGAGGGATGAGGAGAAAGAACTGGAATCATTCGATCACTTCAGAATAAAAAGAAATCGACCCCCCATTCGTGTTAACTTTGTCCAAGCGTAAGTGTCAAACTGCCGCTGCACCAAGAGAAGCAAAATTTGATTGCAAACCCCCCTCCCCGATGAATCCGGCATCAAGAGATGCGTAGTGATGGGAACGCCCTTTAGCAAGACCAAGAGTCCGCACCTTTCTGTAGTGCTGTGGGCCCTTTTTTTGCAAAGCCAAGAGTCCCCCCTTTTCCGTAGCGATAGGAAGAAGCAAAGGCTCCCACGCGGCGGCATGGGGACATCTTCCTTGCAAGGCCAAGAAAAAGAATTTGCGCTCCCTTCCCCTCTAATGCATCGGCATCATGTCGACGTGTAGTGGTGTGGACCCCTTCCTTGCATGGCCAATCCATCGGCATCATGACGTCATGTACTAATGCAAATCCCTTCCTTGCACGAAGATGGATGCAGAGGGATAAAGGTAATGGATGCAGAGGGATGAAGGTAAGCACTGCTCAGCCGCATAGCAACTTATGAGCCCCGGACCTGTTCTTGAATACTATAAGCAGAGAGACATTGGTTAAAATGGCGACGACATTGGCGGTTCCGATATAACATTTCTTCACCTTCTCTCCTACATCTAGCCAGAACATAGCGAAAAGTTCCCGCCAACATACGAAGCACACGACAAGCCATTGGCAGAAATCCGAAATTCGTGTTAAGAGAGAGAGAGAGAGAGAGAGAGAGAGAGAGAGAGAGAGAGAGAGAGAGAGAGAGAGAGAGAGAGAGAGAGAGAATGGAAGACGCGAAATCACATCGACAGAGTGGGAGAGCCAGAGGGGGATTGGGGCAGGGAGAAGGACACGCGAAGGCTTGACCAGAGCTAGTCACGCAAAAAGAGGCGAACTTCATTCGAAGTCCCTGAAACACCGAGCGAACTGTCGGGGGCATGAAGATTAGATTGAAGCGCCCGACATCAAACTCGATCTCGCAACGGCGGGGAGCAATGCGACATGGAGACGGGCGAGTAAGCGTTGGTTTGAAGTTGCTTGCTGTTTGTTTACCAGGCCAGCGTGGGCAGCTTAGAACTCGCTTGAACCTTCGTCATGTACGCAGCATCGAGTTCCGCCTTGCACGACTTGCACAAATCATCCAGAAATGTCGATCTAAAGATTTCCACTGCCTCTCGCATCGATGTTTTTTCAAAATCTTTCACTCTCTCCACTGTCTTGCTGGTTTCCTCCGAGGAAGCAGTATTGAGCTCATTCAGCAACTGCGATACTGTTGGGACAGCCATGGGATCGAAATCCTCACATGTTTGAGGATCGATTGGAACACACACCCGGCCTGTTTTTGGATGCACACAGAAGGGTGCCTTGAGCAGATGGTTCATATTCTTGGACACCTCAAAGTCAAGCCTGGGGTATGTGTACACAAAAATAATCTCGTCCAAGCATCTTCTCATGGCATGGCTCTTAACCTTCGACGCTTTGACACACTTCTCAAGATCTTTCCACCTCAGCACGTTTACGTCAACATCACTATTCGTTTGTCGTCTGCTGCTCCAATTAACACGCAACTGGTTCCGGACATCATTATCAGGAATCATGTGCAGAATTTTTTCCCAACTCTCCTCATCGGCCAGGAGCTCTTGTCCTGGTAATATGAGTTCAATAAAGAAACGGTCCAGGACTTGCTCATATGCCCGACTCAGGCTGGGGTGCAATGAGGAACCCGGAAGGCTTACTTTTATGGCATTGTTCTCTGATCCTCTGTATACGCGGAAGTACTCTGCGATGGCACTTCTCTGCTCATTATTCAATTTGCGTGCCCTTTGGTCGCATACCCAGCAGTGAACACCACGGCGCCCACTGTACACCCACAATATGTGCGCAAACCCGAAGTCCTCCCGAAGTGCCGTGTCCAGCACACGTATTACAACGGTCATGAGCGGCCAGCAGCGATTGCACACATCAGCCCCTTTGCAGCAAACCCTCACATCATCATAATCTGACATATCCACGTCAAAAACAAGTTCCCTCTCCACAGGTGCGAAAATCTTTTCAGACCCAGCACTCTGATATAGCTGTCGTTTGGAAGGATCAAAATTGAATACAGCTCCAACGTCGATCTTGAACGGACATTTGTCTCGTATTGCTGATTCCATATCGTTGCAGCTCTTGAACGACTGGTATCTTATATAGATATCGTTGTCTAGGGTGAAAGAGAACTCCCTCCTCGCAAAAAACGATGTGTCCGACTGCGGATGTTTCCGATCATGGCCGTAGGAAAGCCACTTGTACATCTCCTGATAGGGAAACAATCTAGCATAGTACATTCGCATCAGATCGACATCAAAGCCCTGATACTGATCGAGGAGGAGATGATCTCCAGCGTCTCGAACTGCAGGAGAAATATGATCAATAGCAGCAAGAGTTTCCTTCACATCATGCTTGTCATCATCCATTCCTGGCATTTCATTCGTATCCACCATATCGGCATCATCTTCTCTTACTCGTTCTACCATTGTCGTTCAGAGAAGAAGAATAAACGATAATACAATTTTTTATTACTATGATGATGACGATGATGATGATGATGATGACGATGATGACGATGATGAAGATGACTATGATGATGATGATGAGGAGGAGGAGGAGGAGGAGGAGGAGGAGGAGGAAGACATTCCAGCAGAGACCAATCAATCAATCGGAGAAATAGTGGCTAAATCGCTACTGTCTCGACATAGACCGTGTTTCTGCCGTTTTCTACCGTGTACTCTTCCGTTGTCGACAGTCTATCCCTGTGAATACCAATCGGGTAAAAGGCGCACAAATCGCTCCCTTCTGGAGATAGACTGCGTCTCTTCGGTTTCCACCAATCTACTCTACCGTTTTCCACCGTTTGATTCTCCGTTTTCGGCCGTTTACTCCTCTCGCCGTTTCTTACCCTTTCGTCCTACGTTTTCCAGAACAGCCTCCTCTGTATGTGTGCATCTCTCTCTTTCTCCCACACACACACACAGAACAGCCTCCTCTGTGCGTGCGCATCTCTCTCTCTCTCTCTCTCTCTCTCTCTCTCTCTCTCTCTCTCTCTCTCTCTCTCCCGCCGCCCCTACCCTTCCCCCACGTGATCCAAAATTTCTGTTTTGTCTACTAGTACCTCTGCCAGTGTTGGGAAATTACGATGTTTTGGCCTGTCCCCGAAGAAATGGGGGGCGGGACCCTGGGTCCGCGAGTCCCATAAATATTAGTTTTAGTTTTCTTTTGCCGGTGCGTGAAAGGAAAAGGGAAAAATAAAAAAGCTTCTGTACTGCAATGATGTCAGGCAGGGTAGTCTAGGAGGCGGCGCTCATAGTCTTCCTCTGGGGTCTAGTCCCAGCTACAGCGTTGAGTTTTCTCAACGCTGAGCTTTCTATCACGTGTGGCATGGTGGGACGGAGCTCTGCCGTTGATGTATTGCGAATCTAACGGTRCCWAAATACAGGWGAATAACCTATTAGATTTAGTCATTTTGTAGAATTTTTTTTTGACGTGAAATCCGTTTTGTAGTATGCGTTGGCGCTTTTGGTTTGGGCAGGAAGCCATTTTCCCTTGAGAAAACTACCCTACAACTTCAGTGCCTTTCCTTTTTTTTGTTTTTTTAGTCCTCATTGCATCCTGAAACGGAGGAACTCTGACAGCTGTGTTTGGCTGTCTGGCATCAAACTGGTTTCCTTCTTTGGGCAATGAATGCATTTGGCCATCCACGTCGTCCCTGTCCATTTTACAAATGGTGACCTCCTGTCCCCTCACCACGGGGAGTACCCTTTTTTTCACGGAGACGTTCACTCCGACTGTTCCAGACATGTTTCATTTCTCGGAGTTACGTTATAAAAAATAAGGAGAAAAGCTGTTTCTAGCATTTTTGTCAGTTTTTTTATTTCTTGTTTCGAATATTTTAATGTCGAAATGGCCACACCGTTGAGTTTTCTGAACTCAACAACCGTAGGTGGGACCAGACCCCTGGTCCCACCTACAGCGTTGAGTTTTCTCAAGGCTATGACGTGTGGCATGGTGGGACGGAGCTGTGTCGTTGATGTATTGCAAATCTAATGGTACCAAAATACAGGAGAATGACCGATTTGATGTAGTCATTTCGTAGAATTTTTTTTTGACATGAAATCCGTTTTGTACGAAAATACAGGAGAATGACCGATTCGATTTAGCCATTTTGTAGAATTGTTTTTTGACGTGAAATCCGTTTTGTACTATGCGTTGGCCCTTTTGGTCTGGGAGGGAAGCCATTTTCCATTGAGAAAACCACCCTACAGAGAGTAGGGTACATTTCTCAAGCCTTTCCTTTTTTTTGTTTTTTTACACCTCATTGCATCCTGAAACGGAGGAACTCTGACAGCTGTGTTTGGCTGTCTGGCATCCAACTCTTTTCCTTCTTTGGGCAATGAATGCATCTGGCCATCAATGTTGTCCCTGTCCATTTTACAAATGGTGACCTCCTGTCCCCTCACCACGGGGAGTATCCTTTTTTTCACGGAGACATTGGGCCTCGCTGCACTACTCTTGAAATCCACAAAAGACAAAAATAATGTCGCTGTATCTTTCCATGTTCTAGCGGAAGATTCGCTCTCGTTTTGCACATTAAGAGAGCAGTGCAGCGAGGCCCATTCACTCGACTGTCCCAGACATGTTTCATTTCTCCGAGTTACGTGAAATCCGTTTTGTTTTTCGTCTGTTTTGGTTCTTCTTTTCGAAGTTATTAGTCCAGTTGCATACCTTTTTTTTTTTAAGTTGCAGACCATGGGATGCTGGACCCGGTTTCCAGCACAAACGCCACTCCCGGGATTCCCGGCCTCATTCAATTTTTTATCATTGAAATTGCAACTTGTTAAAAAAAAAAAAAAAAAAAAAAATCTTGTTTCGAATTTATTAATGTCGAAATGGCGTCACACCGTTAAGTTTTCTAAACTCAACAAAGGTAGGTGGGACCAGACCCCTGGGGCCTGGACCCACTAGCAAGGTATTCTGCCAGGCCGTTCAGGATTTCGATCACTGTGGCATCAAGTGACTCAGTACGGCCGTCGAATAGATCGGATCTCGACGGCCTGGTAGTTTCCAAGGGGGGACTGTAAAGATGCCCACCTCCCGTCCAATGAGATTCGTCGAAAAAAAAAAAAAACGAGGTTGGACTAACTTGGACATGATAGCTGGTGGCTTTGCGTGGGCGGGAAGTCAGGATTTTATGGGCTTTAAAGGGGGGGGGTTGATTTCCAGACTTCGTTTTTTTTTTTTTTGGCTCTGAGAAATAGAAC